ACCCAAACTTGGGAACCCTAGGACGTATCACTATCATGCCATTCCTAAGATTAAATCATGCATATTGAAATCACCTACAGTCAATTGTCTTGGTTAGCATTGATCGTCCAAAATTGTTGCGCCGCATATTTGTGAGATAATAATATGCAGAGAAAGGCTGAAGTTGTTTTTGGGCGTTAAAAATTTTTTGAGGCGATCTTGCTCTTGATACCTATCTTTAAGGTATCTGTTAATTGGTAATTGTCAATCCATTATAACATCCTTGCTTGTAAACTAGCAGTCCATATTGATGAAAGTGTAGATCTTTGTGCGCACTAAATTTCATGCTTTTATATCACCAGTGATGCCAAACTCTTTTTCTACAATAGGTTTTCAATGCTGTTGTGCTGGACTCTACAAGTTTCCTGTGCTATTAATTTTAATATTTTGATATTTTGATATAATTAGACTTCATTTGGAATGGCTTTTTTACTGCTTCTTACTAATACAAAAACTAAATATTTTGTACTAAAAAGCTGCTTTAAGAAGCAGTAAGAAAGCCGTCCCAAACGAAGCCTTAAACTTTGTAACGTAGTTTGAGGAGCTGGTTGTTGGACTGATATACAAGCTTGTGGCTCCTTTTGTGATTATGGCTGGTTTTTATCGTGGGCACTGATGGAGGATTGCATTGGACTTTAGTGATTTTAAGAACTTTCTTCAGTTGAAATTATTTAGGTGGCTGCTTGTTTTTTTAAGATTGAATGCTTGAGATTAAGTTTTTGAAGTCTTCTATGCTCGGGTTTTGTTCATTGTTAGTTTTCCAATTTACTACTACTATTGCTTGGTTCCCTGGTTTAGTATTTGATTAGGTTGCTATGTTTATATGCTCTGCTCAGAGGTGCGGAACTTGGGCCTAGTGGCCATTGTTGGGATTGAATGCTCTTACTTTTATATATGTTAGCTTAAAGTCCCTCTCGACGAGAGGAGCTGAATTGGGTGTGATGACGCCTTAAAATGTTTTTTAGATTCTTTCCAACGCCCACAACACAAATGAACTAAGTGGTTTGACCCAGTATTTTTCTGTTTCAATTGGACTACATCAAGGATTAGCTTTAAGCCCAAATTTTTTTTCTTTAGTCATGAATGTTCTTACTAGACATTTACAAGAGGATGTACCCTAGTGTATGCTTTTTTTTTATGATATTCTTCTTGTTGATGAGACTAGAGAGGGAGTAGAAGGAAAATTAGAATTATGGAGTTCAACCTTTGAATCTAAATATTTTCATTTGAGTAGATCTAAAATTGAATACATTAAGTGTAATTTTAGTGGTAATAGATTTAGTGGTGGGATTGTGACTTTAGGTGAGCAAGTCGTTAAAAAGAGTGCATATTTTTTATATCTCGGGTCTATTGTTCAAAGCAATGGTGAAATAGATGGATATATTATTAGTAGAATTCAAGTTGGATCGTTAAAGTGGAGGAATGCATCCGGCTTGTGTGATAGAAAAGTGCCTCTCAAATTGAAGGAAAAATTTTATAAAATGGTGGTGAGATCTGCAATGCCTGATGGTGCATAATATTGACCATTAAAAGAGAAGCATAAAATTAAGTTAAGTGTTGTAGGGATGAGGATGCTTAAGTGGATGAGTAGCTTTACACAGAGATAGAATATAAAATGAGTATATATATTGATGCAAGCAAAGTCTAGAGAAAAGAGACAAATTGGAGAACACCAGGACAAGACTTAAACCAAACTCAATTCAATTGTAACTTGCAAACATCCAAACAAACTTAGGAAAAACAAAAGCCAAATCGAACAAAAACAAAATAAAAATATAAAAACACTATCCTCAGTATAACCGTCTAGCGGTCTCCTCACATGCAACGAAAGTAGGAATTTAAGAAAATTGTGCTTAGGCTTGCAAACCAAGGGTCCACCACTACAAAAGAGTCCAACGTCCTTTCCAAACTCCTCTGGCAAATGTCTCCAAATTTCAACCAACATACACTTTCAAAACTCAAGAAGAATGATACAAGTGGAGTGGAACTTACGTAGAGAAGAAGGGGTTAGAAGCCAAGAAGAAATAGATAAGAGAAGAAGGGGATGGAACAAGCTCTCAAGCTTTTCCAAGAAGAAACCGTCAGGTTTTTGTAGAGTTTTCACTCACAATTTCAACAACCTTTTCCATGCCAAAACATCTCCATTTTATAGGCAAAAGAGAGGACCAAACAACCATAACACCTCCAACCAAACCAATTAGATTTAGGGAAATGAAAGGGCAACAGCTACAACACAGCAGCCCCAACCCAGTACAGGAAACAGAGAAAAGAAGGCCACGGGAAACCAAGCAGGCAGCCATGGGAAACCCAGCCAGCAAGGGACCCGAGGATCCAGCACAAAGAACGGAACAACAACACGGGAAAACAGCCAGGGCTACGGGAACAGCAAAAGCCAAGAGGAAACCGAAGAGACAAAGGGAGGAGAAGAGGCAAAGTCCACTCCAAAATGAATCCAAGACATAATTGCATACCTTTTTGAAATAATGAGCTAGGAAGTGCAATTAATCCCCAATCATTGAGCTAAACTTCAGCTCAAGCATTTATGAGCTAGTACTAAGTAGAATCCAGCATTTTTTAAGCTCAACACCAAGCATCCAAGGCCCACCCTAGAGTAGCCACCACACCAAAATATAAATCAGCATGCAGCCCAAGGACGAAGAGGACCCAAAAGCAAGCAAACCCAAGGCTTGCCATGCCAAGCACCTTCCTACCATGATCATTGGAAGCCCAACCGTCATAGGATAGCATAAACCAAAATAAAACACAACTAATATTGTTCAAAATACAATAAAACATAAATAAACCAAAATAACTGAATGCATCATATATGTAAAAATATTGGAGTAGCTCTAGTGGAAGATAAGATTATAGGGAGTCACCTCGAATGGTTTGGTCGCATAAAGCATCGGCCTTCTGATGACCTGATTAGGAGAGTAGATATATTAGATCCGACCTATGTTAAGAAATGTATAGTAGACCTAAAAAGACTTGGTTAGAAAGCATGAGAAATGACTTTTTTTATTAAAATTTAAATTAGAATTTGACGTTTAATAGAACACAATGAAGAGAAGGGATTCATATAGTCAACCCCACGTAGTAGAATAAACGCTTCATGCTGATATTGACCTAATTTCCTTAACTGAGTGATCATTGATTTATAGCTTGTTGTAGATTATATAATTTTGCATAGAAAGAAGACAAATAAAAGTTCAAAATTGATATTCTATAAACAGTTGATTTTAAATTTTGATAGCATGAATTTTTTGTATTACATCATTGCATTAAAACTTAAGAAGTCTTGCATCAACAAATGCACTAGCTGCTGCGCATCTTTTAATATTCTAGTATTGTTATGCTCCAGTTCTAACATAGTTTAACTAAGCCCCTGTTCCATACATAATTTTGAATAATTGGATCTTCTATCAAAATTTTGAAAGCAGAGACTTGGCTTATTATAGGAATTCAATGATTTAGGCTTCGTTTATGGCGGCTTTCTTAATGCTTTCTAAAGCAGCTTTTTACTAAAAAAAATTTAGATCCAAAATTTGTTTACTAAAAATCTGCTTTTAAAAGCAATAAAAAAGCCGTCCCAAACAAAGCTTCAGTTAGTTTATGTTTCTATTGCATTACAGCTTTTCATTAATATCCTGATGCGGCATCAGTACAAGTTGTATTGTTGTATTTTGATTGACATATATGCTATTTTCATTCAGTTATAGAAGATGGCAGACGGTGAAGATATTCAGCCTCTTGTCTGTGACAATGGTACTGGAATGGTTAAGGTAAATAATTTCTTTTAAATGTAAAGAAATATTACTGCGCACCTTTACTTTTATAAAGGAATATATTTTATGCTATCCTACATCTAATATTCACTGTAGCTGTACATTTAACTTAGTGTTTAAATTTGAAAAATCTTTGATGCTATGTTTACCGTTTCAAATTAGGCTGGATTTGCTGGAGATGATGCTCCTAGAGCGGTCTTTCCTAGCATTGTTGGTCGTCCTCGTCATACTGGGGTAATGGTTGGCATGGGTCAAAAGGACGCTTATGTTGGAGATGAGGCACAATCAAAGCGTGGTATTTTAACTCTGAAATACCCGATTGAGCATGGAATTGTGAGTAACTGGGATGACATGGAGAAAATTTGGCATCACACTTTTTACAATGAGCTTCGAGTGGCTCCTGAAGAGCACCCTGTTCTTCTTACGGAGGCACCTCTTAACCCTAAGGCTAATCGGGAAAAGATGACCCAAATCATGTTTGAGACCTTCAATGCCCCTGCTATGTATGTGGCTATCCAGGCAGTGCTCTCTTTGTATGCAAGTGGTCGCACAACAGGTGAGCAAGACTCGTACCTTGACAGCTTTTTGGAAGAGATTTTCGAGGGTGAATTTTGATGTTAAGTACAATTTATGCTTGGCTCCATTTATTGGTTCAATGTATTAAAGTTCAGATGTTATTTTTGTTGGAAGATTCTGTCTTGTGCAATATATATAGTAGTTACAATTTTTTGCAGTTTTTAATTTTTCCTTTTGTTATTATAATATTGCTTTACAGGTGGTTCACTTTAACATGTTATACCCCCACCAAAATAAAAAAACAAAAAACTATCTGCCTTTCTTGGAATTTAAAGTATTTTCATAGCTTTGCGTTAACTTTAACGTGCTATACCCATTTATGTTAAACATCATGTTTACGCCTGCAAATTGTTATTGTCGTCAAAATGCTTGATTTGTTTGGGTTTAAACTGTTCAATCGATGTCATATTTAGTCCCTAACTGCCTCTAAGGTTCTCAAAATGTTGTGTTTGTGTTTTAGTGTCGTCTTTTGAAGTGTAAACTCTTCAAATCATTATTGTTTCTAAAAAGTTCACTTTTCTCAATTGCCTTCATATATTTGAACTAATTTAGATTGCCCATGCTCATTTGAAAGCTGGTAGAATTTTTTTTTTTTCAAGTGCTTATATGCTATAGGTCCTTCTGCCTTACATGTGGAATCAAAAGGTGGAGTGCCCCTTCAAGCCAATTATAGAATAAAAAACTTATTTAAAATTAAAAATCTGATGTGGAACTTTTGTTCTCTTTCTTTACTTCATGTATTTCACAAAATGTGTTAAAGTGATCGCAACACCTAATCCACTCCTAATTCAAGCAAATGGAGGTCTCAATGCTGCTATGTGACTAATTGTGGTTTTGGTTCTCAAATGCAGGCATTGTTCTGGATTCTGGTGATGGTGTCAGCCACACAGTCCCAATCTATGAGGGCTATGCTCTGCCCCATGCAATCCTTCGTCTAGATTTAGCCGGCCGTGACCTAACAGATTATCTCATGAAGATCCTCACTGAGCGTGGCTATACCTTCACTACTACTGCAGAGCGTGAAATTGTTAGGGACATGAAGGAGAAACTTGCATACATTGCTCTTGATTATGAGCAAGAGCTTGAGGTATCCAAGACCAGCTCTTCTGTGGAGAAGAGCTATGAGTTGCCTGATGGGCAAGTGATTACCATTGGGGCTGAACGTTTCCGTTGCCCTGAGGTCCTCTACCAACCATCACTAATTGGTATGGAAGCAGCAGGCATCCATGAGACAACATACAACTCGATTATGAAGTGCGATGTGGATATAAGGAAGGATTTGTATGGAAATATAGTGTTGAGTGGAGGTTCCACAATGTTCCCTGGTATTGCAGAAAGGATGAACAAGGAGATCAATGCATTGGCGCCTAGTAGCATGAAGATTAAGGTGGTGGCTCCACCTGAGAGGAAGTACAGTGTTTGGATAGGAGGTTCTATCTTGGCATCTCTGAGTACTTTCCAACAGGTAGATCTCGCTCCTTTTTCATCTAACATTCCACCAAGCAATTACAGTAACTATTACATATTAGTAGGGGTGTCAATATTTGAGACGATCCGAAAATCCGACTTGAATCCGATTTGAAAATTTCGGGTTAGAGTCAAATCGAATCCAAAACGGGTCGGGTTCAGGTTCTTCAACATTTCGATCCGTTTCAAAAATCGGGTCGGGTTCGTGTTAACACTTTCACCGGAAATTGACCCGTTTTGACCCAAAAATCCGATTTTGACCCGGCAACCCGAGATTGACCCATTTTTTTACCCGAAAAGCGAAGATTAACCCTTTTTGGACCCGAAAACTAGCATTTTTTTGGTGGAAATGGATCATTCGGGTCATGTCGGGTTGACCGGGACCTGAAGCTGGTCGGGTTCAGGTTGACCCGAATAGTGCCGGGTCAGTTTCGGGTTCGACCCGAACCCGACCTTTGACCCAAAATTGACACCCCCTACACATTAGTGTCATTTTTCCCTTGAAATTTGTATCGCTGATTGTATTCAGGAATAGTTAAATGTTGTTATTATTTCTGTCTTTATCATATGCATGTGACTTGTTTGCCGCAGTTCTGAAATAAGGTAACCATGCACAAGTTATTTCAACGAGAAACAATATACTTTAAGATTAGCGTTGTGTGCTAATTTGGATTGTATTAATCTCAATACAAATTAAGTTCATTTTAATACAGTTTATAAATGGATATCCTGAGCTAGTTTATTCTGCCTTTGAAAGCTTACTTGTAGTAGTTGACATCACAGGCTTCCATCAATTTCTTTTTTCAGTGCAAAAACTAATGATATCTCTTTAATGGCAGATGTGGATTGCCAAGGCAGAGTATGATGAATCTGGGCCGTCCATTGTTCACAGGAAATGCTTCTAGATTTGAACGTGTGATGGTGAAGATGATAGTCAACAAAACTGGTGCTGGCTCTCATGGCACTTGCCCTTCTCTTTTGACTGCTTTTTACATTATTTAAGCTACTGAATTTCCATTAATACCTTCATGTTTCTGGAAGATAGGAAGTTGTGGAGATCTTATCCTTTGAATTTTTTTTATTCTATTTTGTTTATGTTTAAATATGAAAAAAAGGATATTTAATAATTTAAAAACATGTTATATTATTTAATATTTATTAAATATAATATTAGATAATTTGTTTTGCAATTTGGAAGAGGTCGGTGGTGCCACGGCAGGCGTTGTCATGAATTAGACAGGGACGTCATTGGTGGGATGCATGGTGTTGGTCGGCAACAGGTGGGTGCTGGCTAAAATACTTAAAAACTATTTTAAATGTTTTTAAAATAATAAACAAAAACATTTACAAAAATATTCAGCTTAATATTTTAAAAATTAAATAAAATATATGATGTTAAATAGACATTTGAAGGGATGTCCATGTGCTGCATTCTATGAATTATAAGATTTTGTTATGTTTTGGTATGTGTATATATGGATTAACCTTAATTAAACTCATAAGTCATCAAAAATTGCCTTGATCATGCGCAAATCTTGATGCATATTCAAATTGAAAACTTTGAAGTCAAATGCATAACCAGCCAAATTTTTCTTGATCAGGCACCAACCGTCGCTTGATTATAATCATCTAACCTTCAATGACCATCATTGCTTGATGGTGGTCCTTGACCTCTATCACCTGACTATGATCTTTTTGACATTCATTGCACGACCACAGTCCCCTTACTAATCATTGCCTGTCTAAGATCCTTCGACTAGCCATCACCCAATTTGTACATGACTAATCGGTATTTATACATGACTAAGTGACGGGAAATTCACTTGATCAAATATGTATTTTTATAAAAATTAAAAACAGTAAATTTTCAGAATTAAATTCATAGTCATCTAATGCTAATTTAAATGAACTTATAAATGAGTTGGTTATCTCAATGAGAAGAACATAATGACAACAAAAATAATCTAATCTGACTTCAAATGACCCCACATTTAGTACTTGAAGTATAATTGAAAATTTTATATTGTGCATTGCTCATATTCAAATTGAGCCTCTCGATGAGGAAAACCCAATAAGCTCAAACTCACTTAATAATGACATCCTTAAAGACCTCAAACGTTTTAAAACAATCTTATGATCATGGAAATCACTCTAGGTAATCCAATGAAATGTTTTAATTTTGGTTATTATTACGAAGAACGCGACTTTTATTAAATTATAAATAGACTAACATTCTTAGCATAAATTCGACATTGACTTAAAATTTGAGAAGGCTAACAGATCTGAAGAATCTTAGAGCTATACTTGACCGCTATTTTTGGACTAACGTCGTTTGAACACTTCCAACGAATTGATATCACATGATCAACCTTGTTAGACCACCTCCACCTGACCACCGCCGTTGTCTAACGACTACCATCACACCATTGCTCGATCACAACTATTGGACCGCCATTGAATTATTGTTGCACAATCGTTATGGTGGTGTCCGTTGTTATTTGAATCAATTTTGTCGGACCACATCTCTCATCCCTTACCATCTCAACATTATTTTCCTCCTCCCTTATAGGAGGCTTCGCCAACAACTTATGCTCTTGTAATACATCTTCTCCAATCAAGAGGACGAGTAAATCTTTATAACCAATACTTATATACTTAAATCATTTTAGCTGAGTCGGACTCATGAATTTTTCCCATATCTAAAATTTTCAATGAAAACTCTAACATCTCTTATGCCCTTTATTTTATTATGTGATGCTAGATATTCATATCAAAGTTAGACTTTTTTTTTTTTTGGGAAAATTTGTGGTAAAAGCCCATGTATTAATCAAGAAAAGTTACAAAAAAAACACCAACAAATAATTAGTTACAAGTAAGTATAGAAAATTATACCACCCAAGCCAGAAAATAAAACCAAGCAGAAAGGAAAACAGTTAAGAATTTAAACATGTCGACTCAGAAAAATAGGTCTACATCAATGAGGCATCAAAGCCCGGCACAAAGAGATAGCCAGAATCCAGTCATAGAGACACCAGTTGCCTGGGGCCAAAATGACAGGCCATCACAGCGTCCCAGAAAACCCACCGCGAAAACCTGATTGCCAAAAGACATTAGGTTCGATTTTTTACTATCACTAATATTCTAGCACTCAATACCATGAGATTGGCTTTAGTAGTTTAAAAAGTCATACTATTCAAGAAACTATAATATTTGCCGAAACTTAGGCCACAAAAATGAACCATTCAAATTAGCCTCAACTAAATTGTCTTGGCCATTTGGAGAGCTAATTTTCATTTTCAATTAATTTCTTATTTTTATTTGATTTTTATAAAGAGCTTCGTGCGCTTTATCTTATTTTGAATAACATACTATTCTTTATTTTTTAACTTAATCTCCATAGTATTCATATTCTTTTAAAAATAATTATAGAAATTCTTATCGTGTGTATTTATATGTATATATAAATAAAGGTGGTTAAATTTGACCAAATCTTAATACTTTTTTTTTTTTGGGACGTTATCTTAATACTTTTGAATAATCATAATATTTTACTCCTAATAAATTTTATATAATAACAAAAAACAATAAATAGACCACCACCTGCTTCTTTCATCTTCTCAACAAGTCCGTTACAAATTCACAACTGTCATCGTTTATGGTCCCACCGGCATGTCTCACGAGTGATCCGTCCACACGTGGCATTATTCCATCCGTAGATTACGTTAGTCGCCAACCGCCTTTCTAGCGATTCCGCGCACGTTCGCCACATACGCCCACGCGTCAATTACTCTCTTCAATTCGGACACGTGCCTCCTCTCAACCCCGTCAGTCTGGACGGGAACGACCTATAGTTACCAATTTGGCCCTCTGCAACAGTTTTATATGTACCTTTCTCAGTTCATTTCTCCGTTGTTTCCGCCATTCTTATCTATCTATTGCCCATTCTCTTCAAAATAAGATTGCGGTCTCTAAATTCCTAAACGTTTCCATCTAATTTCTCTTCCACTGAAAAAAAATAATAATAATAATCCGCCACAGTTCAAATTAATTTGTTCGTTAATTCATCTCATTTGTTCGAAATTTGATGATTTGCATCGGGACCAGCGTTCCGGCGACACAGATTCCACGGCAGCTCCTTCAGGAGAGAAAGAAGAGGAAGTTAAGGTATTCCGGTGACAGGGTTTGGAAGCGACCGGCGAATATGGATGCGATCGGCGTGGGAACGGCGAGGCCGGTGATGCTGACTTCAGGAGCGAGCGGGCGGGTTCGGGCTCTGTTCTCGCTCCGTGCCCTAAGGAGTCTTCAGCTGATCCTCAATGGGATCTTGCTTCTCCTGCTGCTGCCGTTCCGGTGGCGGACGATTTTGGTTTCGGCAGAGGAGAAGCAGGAGGCTGCGGTATTGGTGGGAAGGAGAGGTGGGGAAGAGAAGAAGAAATCGGTTGTAGTTAGGGTTCCGGCGGCTATGGTGCCGCGGCGACCGAAGGAGCTAGAGGTGGCGGCGAGGAGGGCTATGGCTATTAGGAGGATCGGATTGCGGGAGGAAGGAGATGAGGGGAGGAGCGTTAGGAATTTCGCCATTTTTACAACGGATCGGGGCGATACGCTCTTCACGCAATCGTGGACGTCCGTTTCCGTCCGAACCAAGTAAGTGCCGTTCTTTTATTTTTTTGAAATATGAAGCAAGTATTTGAAGCAGAGAATGTTTGTGTTTAGAGAGTCTGACATTGGAGATCGGAATTCGAAAATTTCTAGCTCTTTCGGTTTAAATTTTACAAAATGGAAGATTGTAATTTACATAAAAGTCAATCAAATATAAATAATTTTGTATTCCGTGCTATCGCTTTGATTGAAACTTTATTTCTTAGATATAAATAAACTTTACCTTCAAAAACAGCAGCATCCAGTTGGCTAATGAAATAATTTGGCTATTTACCAAGGCCAACGACGCAAACTTACCTTTTGACCCACACTAAAAAAAATTGTAAATATACCACAATTCTTCACATGAGAGGAGGAGAAAAGGTGGAGGAAAGGAAAAAATTTGAGGAGCTCTCTTGCCTTCAACCATCGTCGAAGTTCTCCTTGACCACAGCCAGAGTTCTTCCTGATCGCCATCAGAGTTCTTCCCGACCGCCGTTGGAGTTCTTTTCGAACGTCGCCAGAGTTCTTAGCGACTGCCGCCAGAGTTTTTCCTAACCATCGCGGAGTTCTCCTCGACCACCGTCGGAGTTCTTTCCGATCATTGCCGAAGTTCTTCTCGACCACCACTGGAGTTCTCCTCGACCACCGTCGGAATTCTTCCTGATCGTCATCGGAGTTCTTCTTGACCACCGCCGGAGTTCTTCCCGGCCACCGCAGGAATTTTGATCGATCACCATCGGAATTCTCCCCAACCGTCGTCGGGGTTCTTCTCGGCCACTGCCAGAGTTCTTCCAGTCCACTATCGAAGTTCTTTCCGAATGTCGCAAGAGTTCTTCCCAACCGTCGTCAGACTTCCGCCTGTTCATCGACCGACAACAGGATTATGCCCGACAACTATTACCCATATAAAGTTCAATCCACTTTCTGGAACTTTGTAATATAATCGTCTTCAAGTTTAAAAACTATTTTTGTAATGTATTCAAATACTAGTGAAATTATTTCAACTGGGAGTGACCCCTGTGGTTTTTCCCCTTTTTTCAGGGTATTTCCACGTAAAAATACTTGTGTTTTTAATCTATATGTTTGTGTGCTGGGTATCCATGCAACGCTAAGATAAAAGCTTCCCTACTTTACCGCCGCGAATATTCTAGCACGCAACAAGTCCTATTCCTCTAGTATTATTGTAAGATAATGTTCTATTCAATTAACAAAATTAATACGTAGTCCTATCACCTATGATATGCACAATTGTCCAGTCTGGCGCTGTTCTATGTATAATCAAGCCTCCTATGTCTTGAAGTCGGTAGGCAGCCTAAGCTCTCTCTCTTTTTAAATGAAAAGATTCAATTTCTTATCATTATCCATTTCTAGCAAATATTGATACTAGTCTGTATTCTTCAGGGGATTACTGGTTCTATTGCATGGCCTGAATGAGCACAGGTATGCTCCTTTGCTAATGTTTTCATTCTTATTGGTGATTTTCAGTTAATTTGTTAAATCAATTGTATTTATACCATTTATGTTTTTAGTGGAAGATATAATCACTTTGCAAGGCAACTGAACGAAAGTGGATTAAAAGTTTATGCCATGGACTGGATCGGTAAGTTTTGACAATGCAGTAATGTTCATTTTCATTCATTTCTTAATTCTTTTTATCGTTGCTCTTTTTCCTTCTGGGATTTGTGAAAGTTAGTAGTCTGTGAGTGAAGCGATATTATTGGTGATTAAAGCAAATTTGCTATGGTTAATTCATAGTTTAATCTGATATCGGTAACCAATTGGTGTAAATGGCTTCATCTAGAACATAAAAGAATGTTTGATGCTTTCAAAAGGATCTTATTTGTCTCAGGTTGTTAGAGTTAAGCATGTATTCGTTGGGAATTTCATCTCATTTAACTCGTACACTTGCTTGTGAATGACATCTTCAAGTGTCTTTGATTTTCGAATGGCCACCCTCACCTATAATTACAAAGTGAGCAAAACCCTGATGGTTCTGCATTGATTTGGATTAAGATTTATTTTCTTTTTATGCAAAAGTAAAGGCAATTAAAAATGGAGTCCCATTTGATTGCAGAGTATAGAATTCTTAGAACCAAGCTGCATTTCAAGTTCTAAAATTTTATTTTCTAGAGTTAATTGATTTTGTAAATCTTTTTTTTTAATGTTTTCTATTATTATGTTTGTAACCTTTTGATATTCTTATTATTTGCAACCTATTTATATATTTTGTTGCACTCATTCAGGCATATTATATGTGCATCCCGTATTACTGTATTAGTCTTCAACGAGGGAAAATAGTTAGGGATTTACAAATATGTGAAAGAAAAATCTAAAGCCTTCCAAGTTAAGGGTGTGTAAAAAAGCAACTGCAAGGTTGTACTTTACCAAGCATGGATGGAAGATCTAATGAGAGAGAGGTTCTTTTATTAAAAGTCAATGCGAATATTACTTTTTTTTTCATGGGAATGACAGTCGATTTTATTATAAATACCACTGTTTCATGGTACAGACCAAAGAATTTTTGTTGTTCTTTTAAATTTCATTGAAACTTTTGATATCTTTAGTATCAAATACAATGAGGGAATTCTATAGAATGTAAGACTATCATCATGAAACAAGATGAAAACAATTATCCAAATTAGTACAATTTTTTTTAACTAGTTAAGTTAATAAATCAAATTAAATAAATAATAAAAAAAGAAAAATAATAATAATCTAGTTATAGTCGCCGGTTTAAGCGGCGACTGGCACGAGGGTGTCCAAGCCAATTGTTGCTTCAACCGGTGAATGGATATATTTAAATGTTTTTTTTTTGTTTTGCAGGTGAGAGAAGAGGGCAGGTCTAAAACTCAAATTTTCTTTCTTTTCTGTTTGGTTGGAGAGAATCAACTTCTTTAGTTTTTTTTTTATTAAGGCTTTAAGTGTAAAGAAATTATATTTTGTTAGAGTAAATAATTTATAATTAAAATATTTTTATGAGTTTCTTGTGTGGGATTTTGGGGAATTAATTTTTCAAAATCCTTTTAAAATATATATATTTTTTTCGTCCTCCAAAGAAAAAATAAAAATAAAAAGGGCCTAAATTATTACCTCTGCTCTACTATCTTGCTCAAATCCCATCCCACCGCTGCTACAGTATCCCATGCCCTCTACATTCAACGCCATTTCGAATAGAGCATGCAAATCCCGCTTATTTTCTTTGCATAAACTCATTTTTCTCTCCTGCTTTCTAATATCTATCTGATCTCCCCTCTTTCCATGCTCTGAAATCCCGCACACAAGTTCCCTTCCTCTCGACCGATCTGCTCTGACTTCTCAGGCCGCAATCTCATCTGCATGCTCCCTTGCCTTCTCACACTCTATGACCTTCACTTAAATGCCCGACTTCTCCAACCTAGATCTTGTCGTAGCTACCCATGACTGAACTCCTACACCTCAATTGCTCAACACCTGCTGCCTGATCTCCACATCCGAACTATTGCCCCTCACCCGAAATCTTGAATCGACCTCTTCTTCCTCCTGCACACAGCCGATCCCTCTCCGACTTGCACTCATTCGCACGACCCACACAATCTCCCATCTCCTCCCTATGCTGCAAACAACCTTGACCCAGTCGATACCCATGCTCGACCTTCTTGTAGCCCATCATCTCCTCCATATAGCCGCACCCTTTTCGATCTACACGTCTGACTCTCCCTCACATTCTTCCTCTCTCTAATAGTCGAACTTGACCCAACCCGCAAGGCTTACAACATGCCAACCTTGCTCCGATTCAGGCCCTAATTCCGTTCATTGAAGTAGTTGCACTTCCTTATAGATCCCATTCACGACGCTTGCATACAACCCGTGTGCAAGCCAAGTACCCTCGACCTCCATAGCTGCCTATCGAAACTCTTCGATTCCGGTCTCGCCAAGCTCAACCCTCAACGCAGCTAACTCGATCGATCCACCTAGCTAACTCCACAGTTGCTGATCTTCCTAAGCTCATCCGAACCGAACTCCCTCTGTTAGAAATCCCCTCATAGCCAAACAACAAGCTCATATTCCCTCCTCAAACAATAGTTGAACCAAACACCGCTTCACACCACAGCCCGTAACCCACTACGTCTTCATAAACCTAAACTAAACATTTCTTATCTACAGCAGCCATATCATCCTCTCTCCCCCTTTATCTTAATATTATTAAGGGATTTTTACATACATAACACTTCAAACTATTATATTTACTTATCTAACATCAAAAATATACTATTTACATACCTACCACCTAAATACACTCCGTTTCATCAAAAATACCACTCTGTCCCGACTCTACCTTTCGCTTGTGAAATATCTTCTTCTTCGTCGCTTGAGCGTCTACCCGACCCAGCTACGTGGTAAGAGGAAGACAAATCTTCCTTTTTCCACCCCAAAATTTTTGAAATCTGTGACGCCACCGGAGCAGGAAATCGCGACAAGAGGTCGCTGGAGAAGGCAATCACGGAAGCAGCGGCAAATGTGTGAATATGAGCTTTAGATTATGTTTTTTAAGTCACCTAGTTCCATTTTTTATCTCTGAATTACATATTTTCAGTTTTGTAAATTCTCTATTCAATTACATTTATATAAACATAAGCAAGAAAAAAAATTGAATTTGGTTGCCACGAAAATCATGAGATTCCTGATCACTGCAGAAGCCGGGTGCAGAGTAGAGAGGTGGAGGATGGATTGATCACTGACGAGCTGAAGAAATCCAAGAAGAAGAAGAATAAAGAGAAGCTGAAGCCCAAATCTATCGGCGGTGGAGTTCTCGTACCTATGATATCTGCAACTAGATGATGCTAAGGAGGAAAACTATGTTTTCTTTGTATAGGAGATGAGACGGCTCAAGTTGAGGAAGATATAAAGGGTCAAGAGGATGAAAAGGCTCCAGACGCTTCGTTCTGTCAAGCCTTACCATGGCATCAATGAAGATGGAAGCGGGTGGGTCTCGATTCCTAAGTTGTCTAGATACTCCAGCGAGGCAGTGAAGAAGAAGAAGGAATTTCACGCGCAAAGGGTAGAGTCGGGGCGGAGTTCTGACAGAGTGGTATTTTAGAAGAAACGGGGTGTATTTAGGTGGTATGTATATAAATAGTATACTTTGGGTGTTAGATAAGTAAATATAATAGTTTGAAGTGTTATGTATGTAAAAATCCCTATTATTAATAGTATAATTAATATTATTAATAGTATTAGCCATTAGTATTATTACTATTATTATTTATATAATTATTATTAAGTAAAAAGAAGAAGATAAAAAGAAAAAAAAATAGAGAAAGGGAGAGAGAGAGAGAGAGAGAGGAGATATTTCGGTGTTGTTGCCATCGTCATCGCTGTCATCATCACATTGACATCGTTGCCACTTCTCTTGCTAATGTATAACGCCCTCTAAACCTTAAATCTCAAATCCTATTTTCGGCGCTCGTAGCGTGCCGGGGGACCACCTATACGCTCATAGCGTGCTAGGTGGGAACTAGCGCAACACTTGCGACGAGACAGGTAGACCTTGTACACGCTCTTGTAGCATGGCAGGGACAACTTTAAGTACCTGTATATGTGCCGCCTGCAGGAAAAAATTGTGCATTTCAAATAGGCACCTTGAAGACTTTATCTCTGGTAATGCCTTTGCTTACAAGTTACAACTTCGGAAAAAAAAAAAATAAAGTTACAACATCTTCTGAGATAATGCCTTTGCTTTCAACTTGTTCTGACTCTGCTTCAGGGCTGCGAGCATGTTGTATTTTTCCATCAAAAGCCCACCGCAATAGTATAAATGCAGTATAAGCATAGAACGTTTCATGTGAATTGCGTAAAATATCATCATCTTGGTCATATGGTAAGAACTTCTGCTTACAGGATAACATCGATGAGATCGTAAATGTAGGCTGCTATAAATTGTATGAGTTGCTCTTTGATGGCTCTTATGTATCAATTTCTTCAAATTATCATGTTGTCAGCAGTAAAAAAATGCTGACAAGGACCATCGCTAATAAAGAAGGGGTGGGATAAGGAATATATGCCCTTGTTGAGACCTAATGCATGTAGCTTATAACTGTTTGTTTCATTCGTTTTTGATATAACTAATGCAAATTATGTCGACTTTACCTGCTGATATTTATTTCTTTTCAAACTAAATAGTTGTTAAACACCGTATTTACTTGGCTTTTAGATAACTTGAAAATCCTAGAAGTCTATTTGCGCTGATTAATTTTCAGAAGCATTCAATTCAGTTTTTTCAGGTTATGAAAGAGCCTAACCATTGTATCACTTGGCTCAAGGTTGGCCCAGACCTTGATTTAAGACAAGTCAGGTCAGATGAGGAATATCTTTATGTGTAAATTAACATTTAGTAAGATTTAAACTAGATTTTTCCTTTTTTGTAATATTCTCGCCATAAGGATATCAATCTTTAATCATTACCATTCAGTCTGATAGTTTATTTTTTAACCTTAAGAGATTTCTATAATGGAACTGCATATCTACGTTTTCTTCAACCAACTGACAGACAGACTTGTTTTTTGTGGAAGTTTTTACTTTTCACCTAATGTACAATGAAGTTGTAGAAGTTTTTTTTTTCTTCTTTTAATTTAGTAAGTTGACAACCCCTGGGATTGCAGCCTTGCCGTCCGTGTGATTGCTTGTGTACAAGCTATAGAATAGTTCTCCCGTCTCCGTGTATATAAACTTGGTTAATACTTGTCTGGTCTGCACTAATAATTCTGATTAGTAATCATTATGTAATTAGATGTTTCCAAAGGTTAAGTGCCTCGTTCGCCATGGAATTTTGTTGTATTAAAAAAAGGGTGGAAGGTTAAACCTTGAATTCAAATCTCATCTTTTTCCTTCATGTTATCAAAGAATTACATGCTCAAGATTACTGTTGTTGTCTTAGACTCGATTGCTATTACTGTATTAAATAAGATGCAATGGAGTGCTGGTATGCTACAAAATTTTCTAGGAGAAATAATATATGATTTTTTAGCTGCATTAAACATAACGATTAAGTACACATTGGAAAGGACTCCCTTCCTAATCTAAACAAAGTATTTTTCACTATCAAAAGTGAAAAAGGGAGGCAACGCGTTATGGTAGAAACACCGCTCATAAGAGAGTGTTTTCCTAATTGTAACCCCTTCACTAAATGCAAGTATGACTGAGCCATCCAAGTTCATTTGTGTGGTCTACCAAAGTTCAATATACAATAATCAAGAAGGTATATTTTGTAATTATTGTAAGAAAGTAGGGCATACAAAAGATATATGATAAGCCTCTGAGGGAGTCTTCATAGAATGAACACAAGCCTCCATGTCAAAACTAATTCATACAGCATCAAGCCAGTACGTGTCTTTGGAACAAACAATTGTTGTAGAAATGGAAGGACTAAAGCAAGAAGAAGTAGAGAAACTCCGCTAGATACATGTTTGATGGCTCAATTAGGTGAGGATTCTTCTTTGTACTTCTCACATGTTTCTAAAAATAGTTCAAAGGAAATGTAGATAATATATTTAGGGGCAAAATACCACATATAAAGTCTTCAACCGAATTTTCTTACTAAATAACTTACTCAAGAAACCCAAAAATAAAATGTTGCTAATGGAACCATAGCTGTTGTATTGCTGGAAACGTATTTATAAAAATCATGTATTCTCCTTTATTATCGTCTATACTCTATATACCTAGATTATTCATGAAATTAATATTAATTCAAAAATCGACACCTGACCTAAATTATATTACAGTGCTTTACCCTACTTATTATTTATCTAAAGATTGAACCACAAGGAGATGATGGGCATACTATAGAATGAGGCGAGTCAAATGTCCAAACCTCACAAAGTATCATACCCCCTAAGCCACTCAAGTCTCCATGCTTTTCTATTTAATTCATGTTGTTGAATGGGAACTAACCTATATCATTTATGTTAATAGGATCGGATGGTTTTTTATTTTCATAGATGATGGCTCAGGCACATGGCTTTTTTTCACGAAAAATAATTCATATGCAAGAACAATCCTTCTCATATTTCCTAAAATAATCCTTACCTAATTTAACAACAACAAAAACAATAACAGCATCAAGTCTTTTTCTCACTGCATGGGGTCGGCTACATGAAACCTTTTTTTCTCCATTGTTTCTAATTAAGAATCAAATTTTTATTTAAATCTAATAAAAAAGGGTCAATTTTAATAATTTCTAATCAAGTTTTTTTAGGTCTACCTCTAATACATTTACTCTCTTAATTGGGTCAAGCCACTATAGCTACTCCAAACTTTTCATGTATATACTTGTTTTATATTATTTCTTTAAGTGTAAAGCCACTCATCCATCTGAGCAACCTATTTCTGCTAAACTTAACTTAATTTTATGCTTCTCTTTTAATGACCAACGGTCCTTACCTAATTTAACACTGGTATAAAATGTATCAAGTTTGATAGTGAGAAGGAATATTTTAATCAAAACTTATCCTCTTTGTTTCAAGGAAAGGGCATCATGTGTGAATCCTCTTGCACCTGAACTCTTGCACCTGAACAACAAAATATGATAGTAGAAAGAAAAAAATTTTGTCATCTTGGCCACTAGGGCTCTTCTCTTTGAGAGGAATGTCTTGAAATTTTTATGGGGACTGTTGTGGATCAACATTTTCCTAAATGAGTTAGGAATAAAATAGGAAGATGCTATAAATTTATATTCCAAGAAAAAATTAGACATCAATATTTTACCCTACCCATCCAACATTATACAATATTTTACATCCATACGTTTGTCCATTTATGATAGAAGTTTGTTGATTAAAATTGTCATAACATAAAAGACAAATCCAACTGAGTTTTACAACTCTGTTAAAATTAGACATTTATCAAAGCAAGATTTGCGGAAATCCTTGATTTTTACTTTTTTCTTCAGCTTTAAGCACTTCAAAAATCTCTGCAAATTATTAGTTTTCTTCTTCGAGCTCAAATTCTGTATGCAATGTTTTTAATCCACAGGGCATGGTGGAAGTGATGGGTTGCACGGCTATGTCCATTCTCTTGATTATGCTGTCAATGACCTGGTAATAACTCAATTATGTGATTTTAAATATGAACCTGTTTAAATTTTGTAAGTTTTCTAATTGATATATTGCATACAGAAAGCCTTTTTGGACAAGGTTTTAACGGAAAATCATGGGCTACCATGTTTTTGTTTTGGACATTCAACAGGCGGTGCTATTGTTCTAAAGGTTAGTAATTACTGCTTTGCATATTCATCTATTGGCCTTCTAGTTCTGTAACACCCAGGGAATTGGTATTAGTGATTCAATGCTCCTTTTGTTCTGTTTCTTTGGATTTTTAGGCCGTACTGGACCCTAAGGTAGAAGCCAGCGTGAAGGGTGTGGTGTTGACATCTCCAGCTATTCGTGTTCAGCCATCTCATCCAATTGTTGCAGTAAGAACATCCATTTGAATTCCTTTCTACCTTCTGTTGCAATATTTTTAAAATAACTTCTAAGGAGGTTCAAGAGAGCAGCAGATGCTCAACCTCCGAAACATTTTTTCCGTCTCAAATGCTACTTATCTATGTACCATGAAGGTGCAGTACTGCGGTATCAATGGTGTTATATTGGGGATGGTCAAGACAAAGGGTTGATAGATATATACAACATAATCAATATCTGTTTACTTCTTAGTTCATGTTGAGTCAAGACAAAGGGTTGGGCATTCATGCTCCCTACCACACTCACTCTGTGTCCATCTTGATGATGCCTGGTCATTAAAGTTTCGTTCGTTTGGGACGGTTTTATTACTACTTCTAAAAGAAATTTCTTATATAAAATTTTAATTTTTGTATTAAAAAGAAGCTTTAAGAAGCAATAAAAAGCCGTCCCTAATTAAGTCTAAGTATGCATTTCCATCGCTTTTTCAATCATCCTTTTTGTCCTGCTATCTTCATCTTGGAAAAAAAATCTCTCGGAACATTCTGATAAAATAGTTGAATGAGCAGCATTTTAAGCGGATAATTTTGCATTGAAATGAATGTAATTCATTGATATTTTTTTTGTACACCTTTGAATTTGCATTCGTCCTATTACAAATTCAAAGGCTTAAAGCGCTCTATTTTTTTATCTTTCTCACGATGTCCTGCGGGATACTTGTGGCACTTACGCCATGTGAAACTTAATAAGGGTACTTCACTCCCCCAAAAATACTGGAGATTGGTGTTTATTAAAAAATTTCCAATTTTTCAAATTTGGGATATTAACTTCCGACCTGTAAAGGAACTTCGAATAAATCCTGTATAAGAACATTTGTCGGAAACATTAAACTTATTCTTCTTAAAATTGCTCTGCTGTATTATAGTTCTGTCTGGTGTGGTTTCATGAAGTCCAAGGCCCGTCTATAATTTGAGTTTTTCTGGCTAAGGTTTCTCAGGTTCCTAGGCTCATAAATCCATGCATTTTTTTTCTTCAAAAAAATCAGTAAAATTTAATTCACGAGCTTCTGTATAACTGATGAACTTCAACAAGAAAATCGAGTAATGCCTATACATTATTTGCTTGAAAATACTTCAACAAACTTACAATAACATTTAATGGCATCTATTGTTTATTCTCTTTCCGGCAAGTTTTTACTTTAATTTCAGAATAACTACCCTTCTAATTTTTCATTTCTTTTGCATTGGCAGGCATTAGCGCCAATCTTCTCGCTTTTTGTCCCAACATACCAATTCAGTGCTGCAAATAAGAAGGGACCACCTGTATCTCGTGATCCTGAGGCCTTGAAGGCTAAGTACTCTGATCCTCTTGTATTCACTGGCGCCATTAGAGTCAGAACTGGATATGAGATTCTTCGTATCTCCTATTACTTACAGCAGAACTTGAAGAGATTAACGGTTCCTTTTCTAGTCCTTCATGGCGCTGCAGATACTGTAACAGACCCTGTTGGCTCTAAGATGCTATACAAGGAGGCTTCTTCATCTGACAAAATCATCAAACTTTATGATGGTTTCTTGCATGATTTACTCTTCGAACCTGAAAAAGAAGAGATTATTAGTTACATAATCGAATGGTTAAGCTCCAGACTTGAAGCAGAGCAATGAGCTTGAAAAAGATGCAAGTGGGTAGTTTCTCAACATTGAAAGGTTTTCCAATTAACATTTTATTGGTAAAATTTTCAGACATTATGGGAAACAAGCGCTAGTATATATGTTTATAATTTGATATTTATTGAAGAAGCCAGCAATCAATGGCTGAATTGCTGATAATTTATTTGGAAACTTCAGAAAGACTTCAATTAACTTCTCTACAAGCTGGTACCAATTTTTAGATGGATATTTTTTCCTGAACGAATTATGGTCGTTGTATATAGCGAATTCTGCTAAAGCAGAAGCTCTATGCTTTGGTTCTTTGTATTTTCCGGATCAGTGCTTTTCAACTGAAAAGGCCAATCTGACATTCTAACCAATGTAAAATGATTAATGATGAAGCTATATAAGTACTGTATATTATTTTCCTTTGTTGCTTTTCATGCACAGATTAAAGGCTTTTTATATCTTCTTTTGTCAAGTGTTTTATTTTTCCAGTAATACTGCATGTTTTCTATTTATTCTTGGTGGTTTTATAAGCTATCCTCAGTATTTTCTTTTGATTGGGCAGCAAAATTAATTACGAAGTCAGCAATTAAAGAGCACGCCACGTCACCTCTTTTTTGTGAACCGCGGTTGTGTACCTGCTGTCTTGTTGTGTATCGCAGTTGTGTACCTGCTGTGTACCGGGATGTGACGCGCTCTGATTTGCCCTGGACGTAGAGCTACATCCGGTGTCTGCACAGAATAATTTCTAGTATTTTTACGACTTTTCAGAAACTTTTTTGTGTTGAGTACTTAGTTTTTATAATTAAACTTATTGATATGTGATAATTATAAAAATGATGCAGTTTAATCTCTTGAAAAAATGTAATGCTCATAATAATTTTTGAAAGAAAAATTATTTACAATAATTTTACAAGCTGCTAGACCTTTGTCAGGATGATCTCCTGTAAATGATTAAAAAGGTGTCAACAGATATCGAAGTTTCATATGATTGAAATATTGGCAGAGGTCTACAACGCAAAACAGCTAGTATATAAAAACTTCTATAGCGTAAAAGTTTTCAATGTTGAAACGTGCTGGAGAATCCAGAGATTACCTTATAGACTTCAGTGGCTCTTTTGAAATTTGAACTTTTATTTTAGAAATTTTATTTCAAACTTAAAAATTTTTTTTCAGAATGTACATCAGAAGAAAACCTTCCATTCAACTATTAATCCTTGGCTTAGGGCATCTCCAGCCGAAATCCAAACGACTGTAAGGCGTAACTGGTTTGCTCCATTCAAACGACAAAAAATTGCTAATCGGTGAGGGTGAACAGTGCGACGCCAATATTGGTGTCGCACTATTTACCTATTCGATTTTTTTGTCTCTGAAGAAACTCATCAGACAGCAAATGGTAAAAGCAAGGCTAAAGGAAGAAGACAATGAACAGTAACTCATCTTCATTGCATTACTGAGGTGTATTACAGGATATTATATAGATGAGTATTACTTGTGCTAATTACAGAAGTAATCCGGTTAGTTACTTAAAGTATCTGACTTGGCAGGAGATCATGGGGACAATCTCAGAGGAGCAGAGAAAGTGGCCGCAGGTAGTAGACAGCGGTGTTAGTGGACTAGGTCTGCTTATCACCGTCCCTCAAGCTGACGGGAGGAATGACCAGAAGCTTGCTACGCAGCTTGAGCAGCTGAGCAGAGGGAAGATACTTGGTGAAGATATCAGCCACCTGATCAATGGTGGAGATGTGATGAACCGCAATGTGGTTGGCCTGAATACATTCCCGTATGAAATGATGGTCGATTTCAATATGTTTGGTGCGGGCATGGAAAATTGGATTGCAGGCGATGGACATGGCAGAAACGTTGTCACAAAACAACTTTGTTGGTTGTTGCGGGAGAGAAAATCCTCACAGAGACGCCGAGTCCAGATGATATATATTGCAGCTGCGGCCATTGAACGGTATTCAACTTCAGTTGAAGACCTTGCAACCGTCGTCTGCTTCTTAACCGATCAGGTAAGGAGAGCATTGCCTAAGTAGATGCAGTAACCAGTGGTAGATTTACGATCGAGCTGGTCACCAGCCCAGTCTGAGTCAGAATACGCAGACAGAGTTAACTGTGTTTTGGGAAGAAACAGGGTATGAGTAATAGTGCCTTTCAGGTACCGGAGAACACGTTTGAGTAGTTGAAAGTGAATAAGTTGGGGACTATGCGTATGTTGACAGAGTTTATTTACAACAAATGCTATGTCAGGACGGGTGGAGGTTATGTACTGGAGCGATTCAACTAATTTGCGAAAAAACTCTGGTTGAGAAAATTGCATTGTAAGAGTAGCGTCTGTTGGTAGTTTGGAAGGTAATGGAGTTAGTAAAGGTTTGCAATTGGACATGGAGGCTGTATGCAGTAGTTCTGATATGTAAGATTTCTGAGAAAGATAATAGCCATCTGTTTGTCTGATGAACTCCGTGCCAAGGAATTTAGACAACTGGTCTAGATTTCGTGTCTGAAATCGCTGTGAAAGTTTCTCAATCAGGGAGGATATGTAGTGGGAATCACTACCAGTGACCAGAATGTCATCAACATATACCAATACGTATATATGAAGATCGCCCTTATGAAGATGGAAGAACGAAGGATCAGTTGCACTTACTGTAAAGTTTTGTGTTTTAAGATAAGATGATAAAGTTGCAAACCAAAGACGCAGGACTTGTTTGAGGCCATAGATGGCCTTGTGCAGCATGCAAACATGATCCGGGAAATGTGAATCTTCAAATCCCTGAGGTTGATCCATGTAAATGATATCTGTTAAGGCACCATGAAGAAAGGCGTTCATAGCATCAAGTTGATGTATTTTCCAACCATAATGAAGAGCAACTAGTAAAAGAAGACGAATTGTTGTGTGCTTGACGACTGGGCTAAAGGTCTCAAGATAATCAATTCCATAGGATTGTTTGAATCCTTGTGCAACTAGCCATGCTTTGTAGCGTGCGATGTCGCCATTGGCTAAATGTTTTAATTTGTAGATCCATTTGCATCCGATTACTTGCTGATTAGCTGGCCGTGGCACTAGAGACCAAGTGCCTTGTGCTTGAAGAGCTCTAAATTCAGTCGACATGGCTTGTTACCAATTTGAATCTTTGTTGGAAGTAGAGAAACAGGTAGGTGTGGTATGAACGGTGTGAAGGAGATCTAAGAGAATTCTGGGTTTTAGTGTGCCAGTTTGAAATCTGGTAACCATGGGATGACTCAGTTTGTGTATTGGTATAACAGAGGATTTAGACGAGGAAGATGCAGTAGGAGAAGAAGTTGTGGGAGAAATGTTGTGGGAAGGAGGAATAGAGGGATTATAATTTATATGGTGTGAGTTTGTTTCAGAGTAGACTTAGGTTGTGGTTGGTGGAGAAGGAGGAAAATAAGAAATGGTAGGAGAGGAAGATGATTGTTGTGAGATGCTGGAGTCAGAAGAGATAGACGGGAATAACGATTCATCAAACTGAACATGTCGAGAGATTATAATTTTGTTGGTGAAGGGATTATAGCATTTTTAACCTTTGTAGTTTGAGGTGTACCCAAGAAAGATGCAAGGAACGGATCGAGGGGCAAGTTTGTGTGGAGCTGAGTATCTCGTCCATGGAAAGCAACAGCAACCAAATGGACGGAGAATTGTGTAGTCTGGAGGGATTTGAAAAAGCAATTGATAGGGAGATGTGGATGCAGTATTGGGTGAGGGAAGATAGTTTATTAGAAAAACTACAATAAGAACTGTTGCATACCAAAACGAAGGTGGAAGACGAGCATCAAAGAGAAGTGTTCTGGCTGTCTCTAAAATATGACGATTTTTACGTTCAGAGACTCCATTCTGTTGAGGAGTGTATGGAGAAGAAAACTAATGATTAATGTCGTGAGAATGAGTGAAAGGTTTGAAGGAAGAGTTGGTGAATTCAGCTCCACCGTCTCTGCGTATTGTTCAAACAGAGGTTTTTAAACTTTTTTCAATTGTATTGATGAAATTAATCATAGAAATTAGTAACTTCATTTTTTTTGTTTTAATAGACTAATCCAGGTATATTTTTTGTTATCATCAACAATAACAAGAAAATAATGATAACCATAATTAGAGAGCATGGGGGAAGGACCCCAAACATCCACATGGATTAAATCTAACGGAAAAGGAGATACATTGTCTGAAGATGAAAAAGGTAGCCGGTGGCTCTTTGAGAGAGCACAAGCAGTACATAAAGTGTCTAAAGAAGAAATACATAACGAAGGAAAGTATTTAGAGATAGCATCCATGGTCTTTCTTTTTGGATGACCCAAACGTCGGTGCCAGGATAAAGCTGAACGATTGGATGAAACAGTCATTGATGCGGCAACTATGGGAGGCTGGAAAGGGATCGGGTAAAGCCCATTACAGCATTGTCCGTGGAGAAGCGATTGTTTGGTCGTCAAATCCTTAATAGAAAAACTAGATTTGTCAAACTTGATGGAACAATTATTATCAGAAGTTAATTTAGATATTGAAATGATTATATGAGTGAGGTTAGGAACGTGAAAGATATGTTTAAGGTGGAGCTTATGGGTTGGTGTGGGGAGAAGATCATTACCGACATTTTGAATGGGAAACGAATGTCCATTACCCACAAATACCTGATCTCTACCCGAATATGACTGTGGATGCTGAATGGGAAGGGGATCTGGTGTGAGATGCGCGGAGGCCCCACTGTCCAAGTACCAAGGAGATGGTTCAAGATCTGCCATTAATGCAACGGTAGAATTGGAGGTTGGAGCTACGTAATTGAAGTTCCCCATGAACGTGCACGATAATATTATAAGACTTCTATTCTACTGAAGCAACATCAATCAACATCCTGATATTTATCTATTCGATCAAAATCGCACAGAACCCAAAATAACCGGTAGAATCGTTACAGAAAATACTCAAAACGTGTAGAAAAATCTTATCAATAACATATCAAAAGTTGTGCGGTGAAAGTTTCGTCAATACAAAATACGGCGCGTTTTTCGATAACAAAAATACAAATCTGTGCGCAAAATGACCAAAACTCAACATCTTCGAAAACAGAAATATGATTCGGAGTCCTTACCACGAGATAAACACTTTTCCCAACAGCGGCGTCGGACGAAAAGCGCTCCGCGGGGAAAATCAGATCCAGAAAGGAAAAATCAAAGGAACGAGCTCTCATAGTTCCTGTCTAAGTAACCGGAGAAGTGATTTGCAGAAAACAACTTGAATATGACAGAACGCCACATAGGGTAGTTGTCTGGAAGTAACTGAACGTTGATCACGTTCTTAATGTTGGCAAGGAGAAATTTAAGAGTAGGAGGAATAACTGCATCGATGGAAGCAGCTGTGGCTTCAGATGTCATAGCCGCTGCAGGTGGTGTACTTGGAGCAGAAGCTGATGAATCTCCCATCTTCACCAGCGATCGGAGGAAGAGC